GAACCCCTGAGGCACTTTTGGCGCGCCCCGTCATTTAAGGGACGATTAAGGGATGAGGGATATGAGGCACGTGTGAAGTTAGTGGTGGTACGGCTAGATATCGACCCGGGGAATCGCCTGGGACCATTATTTTCGCGATCAGAAGAACCCCTGAGGCACTTTTGGCGCGCCCCGTCGTTTAAGGGACGATTAAGGGATGAGGGATGTGAGGCACGTGTGAAGTTAGTGGTGGTGCGGCTAGATATCGACCCGGGGAATTGCCTGGGACCATTATTTTCGCGATCGGAAGAACCCCTGAGGCACTTTTGGCGCGCCCCGTCATTTAAGGGACGATTAAGGGATGAGGGATGTGAGGCACGTGTGAAGTTAGTGGTGGTGCGGCTAGATATCGACCCGGGGAATCGCCTGGGACCATTATTTTCGCGATCAGAAGAACCCCTGAGGCACTTTTGACGCGCCCCGTCGTTTAAGGGACGATTAAGGGATGAGGGATGTGAGGCACGTGTGAAGTTAGTGGTGGTGCGGCTAGATATCGACCCGGGGAATTGCCTGGGACCATTATTTTCGCGATCGGAAGAACCCCTGAGGCACTTTTGGCGCGCCCCGTCATTTAAGGGACGATTAAGGGATAAGGGATATGAGGCACGTGTGAAGTTAGTGGTGGTGCGGCTAGATATCGACCCGGGGAATCGCCTGGGACCATTATTTTCGCGATCAGAAGAACCCCTGAGGCACTTTTGGCGCGCCCCGTCGTTTAAGGGACGATTAAGGGATGAGGGATGTGAGGCACGTGTGAAGTTAGTGGTGGTGCGGCTAGATATCGACCCGGGGAATTGCCTGGGACCATTATTTTCGCGATCGGAAGAACCCCTGAGGCACTTTTGGCGCGCCCCGTCATTTAAGGGACGATTAAGGGATAAGGGATATGAGGCACGTGTGAAGTTAGTGGTGGTGCGGCTAGATATCGACCCGGGGAATCGCCTGGGACCATTATTTTCGCGATCAGAAGAACCCCTGAGGCACTTTTGGCGCGCCCCGTCGTTTAAGGGACGATTAAGGGATAAGGGATGTGAGGCACGTGTGAAGTTAGTGGTGGTGCGGCTAGATATCGACCCGGGGAATCGCCTGGGACCATTATTTTCGCGATCAGAAGAACCCCTGAGGCACTTTTGGCGCGCCCCGTCATTTAAGGGACGATTAAGGGATAAGGGATATGAGGCACGTGTGAAGTTAGTGGTGGTGCGGCTAGATATCGACCCGGGGAATCGCCTGGGACCATTATTTTCGCGATCAGAAGAACCCCTGAGGCACTTTTGGCGCGCCCCGTCGTTTAAGGGACGATTAAGGGATAAGGGATGTGAGGCACGTGTGAAGTTAGTGGTGGTGCGGCTAGATATCGACCCGGGGAATCGCCTGGGACCATTATTTTCGAGGATGGAGATGCTAGTACTGAGCATTGTGTTACATATGATGATGAAGATTATTAGCCAGATGCTCATTATTTAGGATCAAAATTGATAGAATAGTTGTATTACGTTTCACCCACGGGGCTTCTTCGGATACATATAGGTAAATTCAACAAATAGAACACAGAGATGCAGGCCAAGCTCAGACACAAATCATGCGCATGCAATAAATATCGTGAAAGGATTAACAGATATCTTGAGATTTAGACGAATAATAATTTTAAGATCGACCCCTAAGTGCGTACTGCGCGCTATTATTTGTCTATGTTAATAAATACGTATACCTATTTAGCAGTCGACAACACAATACGTACTACGCGAATTACGCTATCATTCCATCTCAGAATTCGTACTACGCACACACTAATACATACACATCATTCTAAATCACAGCTAACAATGACCTATAATACCCAATCATAATCTGTGTTCGGCGGTACAGCATATCTACAGGCGCTGCCTACTGGAGCCATCTGTTAGACCCGAAAGGAACTACTGCTACTATGTAGGTATCGGTGTCATATAACGCTACCAACAGAACAAGCCAAGGAACAAGCGCTAATGTGCATATGATGATGTGTAGGGAACTGGATGGAGTAAGCGCCATGATGATGTGTTTTTGTTAAGTGCTGGTTTTTTGTTTCTTATCTCAATTGATTCAGTTATTAAAAGGTTCGCTTCGTCCTTGCATCTATGAAGAATAGAAATTTCGAAGTCAGTGTTCATCGGTTGTGCTGTGGGGTGTGCTGTCAGTATATGATCACCTAGGTCAGTACCTTTCCTTTTGTTCCTAGCGTCTCCCAAGTGTTCCATAAATCTAGTCCTCACCATGCGTCTAGTTTTACCAATGTATGTATCTCCACACATTTTACATTTAATCTCATACACAACGTTTTTGGTATGGCATCTACCTTTGAGGCCACCCTCACACGTACTGCAAGTCTTACGACACCCCCTGGGACAATCAGGGGGTTGCAGTGCAGACGAGGTCAGTTGATTTGAGAGTGTAGGTCCGCTTTTCCACGCAACTCGAATATCCAAATCTGAGGACTTCACTGCTGCGTTGACTTTACGTGTGAGGGTTTCGTCAATGTAAGGTAGAGATATGTAGGTAATATTGGGAGAAGACTTTTTCTTTTGAGATTGTTTGTTTTTATATCTGATTGCGTTTTGTATGTTACGAATCAGTTTAATCGGATAGCCGCTGGAAATGAATATGTCCGTTATTTTTTGTAGACCCCGGTCCTGTGCTGCTTTATCAGACCCCAAACGAACAGCTCTAAGCGACTGAGAGTGTATGAGGCTCCTTTTGGTCTGCATAGGGTGGCTGGAGTCAAAATGTAATATGATAGGGGCTGCTGATGGCTTAACATAAAGTTCTGTGGTGTATGCTCCTGAGGGTTCTACAAGATGAGTGTTTGTCTTTTCAAACAACCTGCGGTTACCAGCATCTGCGATGCTGGGCTCCGCATCGCGGGACCGCAGGTTGTTTGAGCAAGCACCTCTGTAACGCCGCAAAAACGCCTGCCGCCAAACGAGAGGATGAGCCTTGCACGTGCAGACCAGAGTGGGTGTGCTACGAAGTGACGTGCACTGCACTCTACCGAAGTGGGTGTGCTACAAACTGACGTGCACGACACCCTATTCGCCGGTCTATAGCGGTGTGCCAAATTTGAGTGCAAAAGGCCCGGCAGTTCTCGAGATCTGGAAGCGTTACCCTGCCCGTGCGCACGTGCAGTGGCACCTCAACCGTGACACATGGAAATGCATTGCCGGGTGCGTGCCAACATCCATCCCAAGTACCAGCGCAATCGGTTAACTAACTACAGAGTTATTAGACTTGTTACTGAACTGACTTCTTTTCGTTTTGCACGTGGCACGTGCAATAGGGGTCACCCATACGCATCCCCTAAGGTTTTTCGAACCCCCCTAAGGTTTTTCGCGAATAACTCGCGTAAAAAGCGGCCGATCACGACGAAACTTTCAGTACCCTCGCATAAACACCATTAAAATCAGCATCATTTATGTTTCTCGAGAAGCAAGGTTGACAGCGATGATTTGTCAAGTCCGCTTTAATTATCAACCCACAGTTCATAGCAAGGCCTTAACGCAACACAAGCGCCGCCTCAGCTCTGGACGGCTGGGCTGATCGATCAGTGCCCACCGACCGGCCCGCGCAGCATCACAAATACACAACACAAACCGATAAACGATCAGGCTCCGCGGCCCGCACACGGCCAACTGCTCAACTGAAACATGCGGCGGCGCGCGCCTGTCCACGGCAAACGCGACAAACGATCAGGCTCCGCGGCCCGCACACGGCCAACTGCTCAACTGAAACATGCGGCGGCGCGCGCCTGTCCACGGCAAACGCGACGACGGCATGGGGCACGTCAAGTCAGTCTAGTCGTCAAGTCTACTCATTTCTGACATAGTGATAGTAATCATCTGACATAATCAGCATCATTTATGTTTCTCGAGAAGCAAGGTTGACAGCGATGATTTGTCAAGTCCACTTTGCTTATCAACCCACAGCTCCTAGCAAGGGTTTAACGCAACACAAGCGCCGCCTCAGCGCTGGACGGCTGGGCTAATCGCGCGGTCAGTGCCCACCGACCGGCCCCGCGCAGCATCACAAATACACAACACAAACCGATAAACGATCAGGCTCCGCGGCCCGCACACGGCCAACTGCTCAGCTGAAACATGCGGCGGCGCGCGCCTGTCCACGGCAAACGCGACGACGACAGGGCACGTCAAGTCACTCTAGTCGTCAAGTCTACTCATTTCTGACATAGTGACTTGCCGACACCAGCGCCCAGTCCACCTCTTCCCAGAGGTGGAGCAGGGCCTCTGGGGAGAGGTGGACCATGTCGCTGCTATATGCGGAACGCCTTAGGGGGATGTCATCCCCCTCATCCGAGGGGCCGCCAAGTGCCGTTTCCACGTTGATGAATACGGCATCAAGCTGGGAGGCTAGCTGTTCATAGGTTGATGATAGCTCTCGGCACAGCGCGAGCCCCTCGGATGAAATGTAGCAGGGGGGGATGACGCTTAGGATGATCGGTACCGTGTCCTTGTTGAGTTTGGTGACCTCGATGACCCTGGTCACGGCTTGCTTGCATGACACTAAGATATTTTCGCGGTGACCAGGGTCATCGAGGTTACCTTTCACCGCATTCACACCGAAAGACACTACCGCCGCCGATACTTTTTTGTCATGACTGCTGACAGCAGCACCAAGCAACCAGCGGCAGTCTTCTTCGAGATGCGCACCGAGGCCACCGCGCGTGGTGCTGCGGGTCAGTGCCTCGGTGCGCATCTTTAGGTTGCCAACCATCATTGTCGTCGGCCGGCTCACCTCGCCCAGCCGGCGGGCATGACTGTCGCCGAAGCAGGCAACACGGTGCGTGTAGACAGTGTTGCCTGCTTCGGACGTAGCCGAAGCGGCCGACTGAGCGGGTACCCCCCTACCCCAACTGCGCACCCGACCTCTCCCCCCACCCCTCACCGTATAGAAACCCTCCCTTCGTCCTTGCTCCCTTCCCGACCCCTCCCCTCCTCGGCGGTTCCACGTCGCACGATGCGCCGTGCCTCTACCACGTTGCCAATACTGCACCTGAAACGAAGGAGAAGAGAATGTGAAAATAAACCTGTTTACTTGATAATAGCCGTTTTCACGACGGCCATCTGGCACACATTTGTTGCACGTTTGGTGCAGATTAGATGCAGATTTGGTGAAATTGGGTTCAATGTGTTTATTAGTAGCTATCAGCTAGGGTTGGACTAATTGCTTATATGCCTGCTTTGTCAAACTATGAGACATTATCATCGATTAAAATACCAAAATAATTTCATTACATGAAGATATTTGCTCTACAAGAGATAAGGTGCAGATTTGGTGTAAATTAGGTGCATTCGCCGGATAGCCCGTCGTGAAAACGGCTAATATTATGCTCAATGACCTTTCAAAATTTGATTATCTCGAAGCTAAGGCCATACAGCTGTTTTGGACGAGCGTTGTCATTGAAAAAAGGAGATGAAAAAACCGATTGAAAAAAGCAGGTGTCTGCGCCAAAACCTATCTGCAAGCTATTTAAAAGTAAATTTGCAATGAAAGGCCTTGGAACGCTCAAATGGCCGATTCAGGTAAGACAAAGAATCTGCTACATGAACTTTACTTTCATTATGTGGCCACCTAAAGAGATATGTCCGAAGTCGGAGGCGGATGTGGAGTCGGAGCTGGAGTCGGAGTCGATTTTTGAAGTCGGAGTCGGAGTCGGAGTCACCGAAAAATCTAGACTCAGCATCCCCGGTAAAAATGTCCTAGAAACATTTAGAATTGACTCTTTAGTGACCTGTGACCAGAGCTGGATTTATTTTTGTTACGATTCAGAGACCTAGAGAGAGAGAGAGTTCCACGGAAGCGCACTGACTCCCCAAGACGTAAGGAAGCCAGGCAAATAAGGTGCACTGAGAGGCTCATAATGATCCCGTTCTTTGACAGTTCCCGTCTTCATTAACTGTGTCTTCCAAGGCCTGATAGTCAACAAGAAATACTGCGTAGGGAAGGAGTACTCGGAAAACTGTAGGGAAGGGGGGGGGGTTGCATGAACTGGCCGGACGGGCGATGGTTAAAAAGTATATTCGCACTGCAGGGCCTTGGAGGACGGAAAGGGTGGTTTCAGGAGAGATTAAAAGATCTCTGATATAAACTTGGCTGTCATTTTATGGACTGCTAAGACTACATAAGACTGCTCAATGTCCGGAGTCGGAAGTGGATTTGGAGCAGAGTCGGAGTCGATTGTCGAAGTCGAAAAAATCGTATTTTTTATTTTAAAAACCGTATTTTTTTCAACGGACAAAAAAATACGGCTTTGCAAGGTCTGCAAAGCTGCCGAATATTACCCCGATAGCAGAGCTATTTGGCTTTGCAATCTGCGGCTCTCCATAATTCATAAGGGGCTCTAGCTAGACTTAAACTAAAAGTATCGTCGCAATTATCTCGTAAATCCGCATCCAAACAAATTTGTTGACCTCGAGAGCCAAGTTTGCCCCCCCCCCCCTCAGATCTCGAGAACCACGAATCGGAGCTTCGAACGGTAAACGGCGTTAGATAGTTCGTTGAAAGACTTACAACTTTTTTATCAAACTTGTTTTGAGTCAGATCAATATTGAGGTCACCAGAGGTCATCAAAAATGAGATGTTTCATGTTTGAAACAGTTACTTGCATGACCTTGATAGGTTAACTTCAAAATTTGAACTAGGAAGGTCACGCTGGGTACCAATCAATGCGTCATGACCAGGCAAACAGTTGGATACCATTTACAAGTCATTAGCACCGTCATATCGTGTTTTATTGGCTACAACTATTAAACATGACCTCAGATGACCCTTCCCGGTGCCCTTGTCAGTACATTGAGGTCATTGCAGATGAGATAATGTGTCATAATCCTGAAAGAATTGGAGGGCTTTGACTCGTTTGCTCGAAACAGAAAACATTTCAATATTTTCCCATAGGCTTGTAATGTAAAGATCACGACTCTGACCTGACCTCAGGTCACAGATATACAAATTCTGAGGTATACAAATTACACATACTGGTACTGTGATGAGGACCTGAAGAGAGGAAATTGCTCCGTGAAAAACTCCAGCTCTGACGTGATTGCAAACTTTTATGATGTGGTGTCAACAAACCCGCTCCGGTGACCTGACCTGACCTGACCCGGCATGTGTTTTGGCTGAAATGTGCGCAATGAATATTTAGGAAAAATCTTATTTGTTTATTGTTATAATTAATATACAACGACATCCACTCGAGTAATGGCTTTTCAGTCGAGGCACATTAGATAGATCCTAGATAAGATAAAGCATAAAACACATCCCACGGAAGTCTTGCAAACCACAACATTTGTGCCTATCACCCTGCAACTGCCTGAATCGAAATATGTGTGCTGTTGTGCACCGTTCGCCTGGATGTACTAGACAACCCCTTTGAAATGCTAAATTTCTTGTACTTTTGAACTGCACGGTACATTAATTGCCTTTTTCCATAGTTTACTTTTACACGGGGTAAACGGAGTTGAGTTGACTGTCTGGTGTCGTTGGCAGCTCTCTCGAGGTTAAACGCCAGCGATGAGCGAAGCTTACGAGGTCTACCGGCTGTGATAATACCATGGATCAAACTGATATCGAAATATCTTACAAAACGGGTGGGTGGATAGCCCGATTCACAATTAAGAGTCTACTAACATGGCCATATGGTCTACGGCCTGAAACCACCCTTGCAGCGAAGTTGAATAGTATTCTGTAGTTTGGAGACATTCGACTGATTTGTGCTATCATACATCTGTGCAGTGTGCACAGTACCGAACTATAATTTCAGAGTAAACTTAAGCTATGTTTATACTTAATACTTACCATTGGCCTCATGTTTTGTGCGTCTTTCAGGGCGGGTTCGTCCTTCCTGACTCTAGAAGGATCCCGACTCCGAGGCAGAGACCTGTAAATATAAGTGCAAGTTAAACACGGCTGTGATTGTTTGTCCCGGAGTTATGTCGCATTATGAACGGCAATAGTACGATGCAACGTATTTAAAAAGCACCTTGATCTAGAGCAATGTGCAAGGCTTTGGATAATTCCTAAAACTTACATACAGTAACGTTGCAAGAATGTTTCAAGTTGGCATCAACGTTAAACCGCGCCCCGTTGGGCTCTGCCGAGCAACGCGCTATGTTGGGGGGGGGGGGGCAATTTGCCCCCCCCCTAAGATCTCGAGAACCATGCAACCTAGCGACAAGCGGCAAACGGTGTCGGATAGCCCCATCAGGGAACTACCTTGTGTCCCAATTGTATTGACCTAGGTCAAACCGATGACGTCACAGGTCAGGTCAAAAGTCGAATTTTCACCGTTTACAGGCATTTGAAGAAATGCGTTGTAAAATCGAGTAAAATGCATTTCATTGAAAATCATCGATGTGGAAATGTTTTTCAAATACATATTTTGCTATTTGAGGTAACTGATACCAGGTCAGGTCACAGAGGTCAGGTCACTGAGGGTCACAATATGAAAATATCATGTGATGCGTGTATTATGATCCATTTTATATGCCAAATACGATTATGTGGGTCAGGCAGCCTTGGAGGTCAGTTTAGATTATTATGTTCTGGTGAAGGTCAGGTCAAGGTCAGGTTATATTAGGTGAAATTTTTGAAGTTGATATTTTTGCATAAAATGGGTAGCGATTTGATGCAGCTCGTCACGGGAAGAGTTCAATGGTGGTCTTTGTTTTGCCCTAAGTGGTCTAGAAGCGCTAAAAATTGAGTTAAAAAATTTGACGTCATCATTTTTGAACAGCTTTTCGCTATAACTTGGCCCAAAAACGAGATATCGATCTGAAATTTGATATGTATATAGAAGAGCGCAGGGACTATCAAATATATTCCGTTTTTTTCGAAATTCGGATTTCTTTGGTTTTTTAGTTTTCTAAAAAAACAATTTATTGAATTTTTTGGGTTCAAAAACCCAAAAGTTTGGAAATCCGTGATAACAGTTTTGTAGCGATGCTTTTTGTCTACATGACCATATAAAGAACTTTGAAATTGCTTGGTAACTGTAGATTTGGTGAGCGTTTCAAGATTGCATGTTTTTTGCTCATTTTTGCTGGAACATGACCTCAGTTTGACTTCAATAACTCCTGACCTAAGGTGACCTAAGACTTGAAATTTTGTGTGAAGGTGTCAAATTGATGCCCGGGAAAGTACTTAAAATTTGGCGGCGCTGCGCGCCGTCGTTTTCTTGCTATTTAGGAAAAACCACAGGGAGGGCCAAATTGCCCCCTTCCCCAACGGGGCGAGGGTGAAGGTCAAGTCGAGACACGAAAGACGAACAGTAGAATACGATATGTGCGAAGCATGTTTAATGGGCGATTTTGTTCCAAAAAAATATTGAGAATACACAGTTAGGGAAATGTACAATATTTAGCGAAACTCAGGTCTAGGTTCACATCGACTTAGGTAAAGTTTTCATGTTATTTGTTAGGACACAATGCGGTGTCTAACCGATGCAGTTTTTTGCGACGAATAAAAATGATGCGAGGTAAAACTTCAGAGTAAGGTAAAATAATGTTTCTACTTACCGTTGGCTGAGTCGTCCAACGGTTGGACGTCGTCCACAATCTGTCGTCCAACGGACCAAGTACCTGTCAACGTATTTGCAAGTTACAATTGATTTATACGTTGTTATATCTTAGACGTTAATATTAAAGGATAATGTATTATCTCACAGCATAGTTAATGCTTATCATTTTAAAACATAAAAGTATTTACTTGTCATAGTTCAACCATTTACCATATATGATGTAGAATGAAAAGGATCTGTTAGCCCTTTCAGATATGACATGCAAGGTTTGGAAGGTTTTTGTCGAAACGGGATATTTAATTTCTTCAAAATATAATGTTTCTACTTACCGTTGGCTGAGTCGTCCAACGGTTGGACGTCGTCCTCAATCCGTCGTCCAACGGTCCAAGTACCTGTCAACGTATTTGCAAGTTACAATTGATTTATACGTTATTATATCTTAGACGTTAATATTAAAGGATAATGTATTATCTCACAGCATAGTTAATGCTTATCATTTTTAAACATAAAAGTATTTACTTGTCATAGTTCAACCATTTACCATATATGATGCAAAATGAAAAGGATCTGTTAGCCCTTTCAGATATGACATGCAAGGTTTGGAAGGTTTTTTGTCGAAACGGGATATTTAATTTCTTCAAAATATAATGTTTCTACTTACCGTTGGCTGAGTCGTCCAACGGTTGGACGTCGTCCTTAATCCGTCGTCCAACGGGCCAAGTACCTGTCAACGTATTTGCAAGTTACAATTGATTTATTCATTGTTATATCTTAAACGTTAATATTAAAGGATAATGTATTATCTCACAGCATAGTTAATGCTTATCATTTTAAAACATAAAAGTATTTACTTGTCATAGTTCAACCATTTACCATATATGATGTAAAATGAAAAGGATCTGTTAGCCCTTTCAGATATGACATGCAAGGTTTGGAAGGTTTTTGCCGAAACGGGATATTAAATTTCTTCAAAATATAATGTTTCTACTTACCGTTAGCTGAGTCGTTCAACGGTTGGACGTCGTCCAACGGTCCAAGTACCTGTCAACGTATTTGCAAGTTACAATTGATTTATACATTGTTATATCTTAAACGTTAATATTAAAGGATAATGTATTATCTCACAGCATAGTTAATGCTTATCATTTTAAAACATAAAAGTATTTACTTGTCATAGTTCAACCATTTACCATATATGATGCAAAATGAAAAGGATCTGTTAGCCCTTTCAGATATGACATGCAAGGTTTGGAAGGTTTTTGCCGAAACGGGATATTTAATTTCTTCAAAATATAGGAGCGCGTGATTTCAGGTATCATGTTCTAAATAGATGGCATTTTTCGTGTAGGAAACCCAAAATGACTTTTGAAATGTGACTTATATTTCGAGACCATATTTTGCCGGAATTGCAAGCGGTGTATGTCATCTCACACTATACGCGTGTTTCCAGTCTGACTTCACTTATAATTCACTTATAAAATAATTATCTTGTAATTCACTTATGATTATATAATTCTCTAAAACATCTGTCCATACTTACAGTTTTTGCCGAAGGAAAAGCACACCACCATTGCCGCTGTCACGAACCACAAAACGCGGTTTATCCATGGTTTGTTCTATACCTTGCGCGAAATTGACGTACAAACCGACCGAAATAACCACAATCCGTTATGTCGTATTCTGGCCGAATATTCTGTTGGCAACCATTGATGACGCCATACCGGTGACGGCCAGGGAAATATGCACAAGTTGTCCCAAGGCAGCTACTATGCATTCTTTTTACAATAATATTCAAGGATGTACGGGTGCAGAACATGCCTAAGTGCCTAACCTTCTATAGAAATGTTCTTTATATCAGATTGGTCGCTCAAGTAGGTTTTCGCTCGACTTCATTGTTGTTGATGATGGAATCAATCAAAATAATATACGTCATCGATTTGCTGTTTGCAACAACCCGCGCCCCGTAGGGGGGGGGGGGCCGAAATGGCCCCCTGTCCTTTTCCATCGATAGCTCCTAAACGGCTGGAGATATTGCCACCAAACTTTCAAGACCCCTCCGAGCATCAATTTTACACATTGTGACCAAAAATTTTACCAGAGGCTATGCTAGGTTGGCCACAAATGACGTCAGAATGACGTCATGTTCTGCCATTTTCGACCGAAAAAAGACCTTCGCGAGAGCAGCTGTCAAGCCTACAGCTTTGAAGATACAGAAAAATAATTAAGACATAAAAGGTGTAGAATTGACAGGGCTACAAAACTGTTATCTCGGATTTTTAAAAGTTTTGAGTTTTTCCCCCAAAAATTAAAAATTCAATTTTTTTGATATATTAGCCAAAAAATCCAAAAGTTTTTTGAGTTTCGAAAAAACCGGAATATATGTGATAGTACCCACCATCTTCTATCTACATAACAAATTTCAGATCGATATCTCCTTTTTTGGTCAAGTTATAGCGAACAAACTGTTCAAAAATGATGACGTCAAATTTTCAAACTCATTTTTTGGCAATTCTAGACCACGTAGGTCAAAACAAAGACCACCATTGGACTCCCCGTGACGAGCTGCATCGAATGGGTACCCACTTTATGCAAAAATATCAACTTTGAAATTTGACCTAATTTGACCTGACCTTGATCTGACCTTGACCTGACATTCATCGGAACATGATCTAAACTGACCCCAAAGGCTGCCTGACCCACATAATCGCATTTGTCATGTAAAATGGACCATAAAACATGTATCACACGACACTTTCATATTGTGACCCCCAGTGACCTGACCTCTGTGACCTGACCTGGTATCAGTGACCTCAGATAGCGAAGTATGTGTTTGACAAACCATGTACCATCGATGGATTTCAATAAGTAACCAATTTACTCGATTTCACAACACATGTCTTGAAATGCCTGTGAACGGTGAAAATCTGACCTTTGACCTGACCTGTGACGTCATCGGTTTGACCTAGGTTAATGAAATTCGGTCGCAAGGTAGTTCCCTGGTGGTGCTATCGAACGCCGTTTGAATTTTGAAAATCGGCCGGTAAATTTCCGAGATCTTAGGGGGGGCCGAAACGCCCCCCCCCCCCCTACGAGTGGTAGGGTCCGCCGGTAGCCCTACGGGGCGCGGGTTAAGCATCGATGTCACAACTCACAATGGTTCGGAGCACTAGGCACGGGATACAGATGCATAATGGGGGCAGATGGCAGGATAAGAGAGGCAAGCTCAACGAACGTGGCGTGTTGTGAAACGGTAGGTAAGTTAGGTAGGTGAAGTGTGAGGTCAAGTGGACACACAGTACCTATATCAATTACCAGCATCTACCTCGGACCAAGATTGATATTATTCGATATTCATGCTAAAAAGGTATTTTCCATCTCTTGGTATATTAGGCAACGCCTAATAATCCAGGCAGCGGCACGAGGAGCCGGATGGAGGAAACATGGTTGCAGGTTTAGTGTGCGGATATATGTAGGTCTCTTGGCTTTGCTTAGGCTGCATCCATGCACCACGCTGCCCGCCCTTGAAGTGCTTTGAATTTCGGTTTTATTGTGGAACGTCAAAATAGATGTAATCTATAGATATCAGCAAACTTAAAGGTAATGTAGAAATAAATATTACAATGGCAATGCATCTTCAAGAGCCCGTTTTTCTACAACGGAAAATAATGCTGCAAAATAAGCTCACCTGAGCACTGTTGCATAAAACTTACGGCACCCGATTATTTACGAATTGTGTTAGAATCATACTTTTTCTATGTCACTCTGTTTCATAAAGGTCTGAAAAAAGTTTATGGCGAGTGCGGAATTTACAACAGCATGTGACTTTATTTTGGGGGTTTAAAGTTTCTGTTACATAAAAGTTACGATTTAATAAAAAGTAGTTTAGACGATTTAAGAAAAATGGCGAAATGCGCATATAGTTTCGCAGATACGCCAACATGTGTAAAAGTCGTAAAATATTCTAAGCAAGGGGTGGGCTTCGTAGATTTCAACCATCAACCAATAGGTGGTTTTCGCAGCTGTTTGACGTCGATTTCCAAGTTTTTTTTTTTTAGTCCTAATACATCTATGTATGCATATCAAGGTAGCTCCTCTTCACGCTGATTGCTTTCTTACCCTCAAACATTTCATAGAAATTTCAAGACATTTCAAACATTTTCATTGAAAGGCTTCAATAGCACCTCTCAACCAATGCCATAGCATGAGCTATGCATAGTTGTATCCGACAATAGTACTGCGACGGCGGCGACTGGCACGTGAGCACGCTCGTTTGACAAACCTCGGACGCATTTGTCATTAAACATATCAGCATTGTTGATTTTCATTTTTAGTCTTCAAATTCATTGATGATTTTAGTAAACATCCAAACACTTTCGCCTCAGCTTCCAGCCACTCCATCAGAGAGCGTTGGTGCACCAAAACGGCCACGATTCAAGTTCAGCTAGAAATCCGCGCAAAGTTTGACGTGTCATTGTAATCGCAACACGCAGAGTGCTTATTTTGAAAGAGGAATTAAATGTGAACTGCACATCACTTTTCCCAAGCGCGCCACCATCAGGATCAGCTGATCGGACGTTTTCAACGAAAGCGGCGACTCTTGGTGTAGTTTGACTGATTTTTAGGTTGTCGCGGATAAACAAGCCTGTTTCTTTAGAAATTGACCAGCCCACGCCTCATTAACTAAGCATATCCTTGTCAGTCCCTCGTTTCAATATTCGGTGCCTCTTTTGAAAACGAGCACGAAACTATTATAGCATATGGTACGCCGATTAGGGCTGTTACCAGGACTCGCCTGGTAACCCAGCCAACTAATGCCTGCTACTGCTGCCCAGTAGTAATACTAGCTCAATCGCGTCGCCCCCTCTCCCTCCCCTCCCCAGCCGCCCCTCCGGCTGGTGGAGGACCCGGCCAACGACAGCACGTACCAGCCACGTTACCAAAAACAACAACAAAACAACAAATTACGTTTATTAGCATACGATACAAGAAGATCATATACTCCAGGTTTTGGTGCAGAAGCTGATTCGAGGTACCATTAATAACGTAACAGAATAGTACGGTTGCATGAGGCACAAATCCGGCACCTCCACGGGTTCCGCGACGAAACGGCACTAAACAGCAGGCGAGTGAGCACGGTGATCCTGCCATGTAGGTACCTACATTGTAGACTGTGCTGTTTGCCAAATATTTTCCATGCTTTGCAGATTCACGCAATTATTCTTTCTGGGCCAGGCTTACCAACGGACATATCGCTGGCTTCCGGTACCTTTATGACTCAGTTTCCAACAACTTGAACCAACTCTGCGAACAGAAAAGAAAATTAACTGTTGATGTTAAGCATATCAGTGGGGATGGCTTATATTATCCACAGCAACTGATTTTTTCATCATAGGATAAATCAATGTGAGATGAAAGGTGCAGCTTACATATTTCGCAAAAAAAAAACGCTTGACAGCAGCGGAAAGACAGCCTGTTTTCCAATGGTCGGAATCCAGACGAAACATTGACCCAAAACGGTCAAGAAGTGAATTTATGCTTCAACATATATGCTTAGGATAATATAAAAAAAGAAAATGTCGACCATTGTCATATGAATATCATACAAGATAACGTACCTTCGAAATATCCCAATCCGAGGCCTTCATAACGCACCGTGCCAGAACACCACCGCACCAACCGTCATAACCACAGAACTGAACAATATGACGGCCGGAAATGAAGGACGCCGACGCGTTTTAGGTTTATCTGGCTGTTATGTACGAAATCGCTTATTTCTGCACAACGAAGGGTGATCCTAGGTAACGTTAAATAAGGTCACTAGATCAGCTTATTTCATGCTCTCTCTCTCTCTCTCTCTCTCTCTCTCTCTCTCTCTCTCTCTCTTTCCCTCTTTCTCTCTCTTTCTCTGTCTCCGGTCTTTGGCCATCACGTGGTACAGCTGCGATATATGGCACGTGGCACCGCTGTTTGCCCGTGGCACAGGGTCGATACCGAGTGTGGCACGCCTGCCCGTAGGCATCTCTCCGTTCTCTCTCCGTCTCTCTCCGCTCTTTGGCTATCACGTGGCACAGCTGCGATACCGAGTATGGCACGTGGCACCGCTGTTTGCCCGTGGCACAGGGTCGATACCGAGTGTGGCACGCCTGCCCGTAGGCATCTCTCCGTTCTCTCTCCGTCTCTCTCCGCTCTTTGGCCATCACGTGGCACAGCTGCGATACCGAGTATGGCACGTGGCACCGCTGTTTGCCCGTGACACAGGGTCGATACCGAGTGTGGCACGCCTGCCCGTAGGCATCTCTCCGTTCTCTCTCCGTCTCTCTCCGCTCTTTGGCCAAACAATGCAATGGTGATAGTAACCGCAGGTTGTTTGAAAAGACAAACACTATTCGTTAGAATTGTGTTTTTCTATTGAAA